AGTTTATCCCATTGCCTGGCGTCAGGTCTTCCTTAGGAGGATGTGCTGTCTATTTTTAAAGGAAGCAGAGTACAGAAAGCCGTCGCTGAGAGGATGCTCGCTGAGCTTTGAACGCAGTGCAGCCTCTCCTGGCCGGGCTTAAGGGGTTTGGCTGCATTGCTGAGGGTGGGCAGCACGGCTGTACCTGCAGGGCTCTGTGCACCGTCCCTTCCCTAGCACACTGACCCCTCTTCTCTCTGTGGTTTTTATTTTGAGTTGAGCGGTGAACCAAAGGCAGGACCTGCCAGCAGCTGTAGCCCCACACTAAATCACTGATTAACCGCAGCCGCCCGGCGGATGGGTTGTTTATTAAATGAGTCATGGCTAATTGTGATGACAGCTGTGTGGGGTCCCGGCCTGGCGTGGGCTCTGGGGCTGTGAGCTCTCATGGGATCAGGGCTGTGGCTGTCCTGCCCTGAGCACAGAGCTGTGAGCCCCAGCCCTGCCAGGAGGGGCTCCTGCGTTGGGGTTCTGGCCCTGCATGGATGCAGCGTGGATCAGGACCAGCTCTGAAGTGAGCTTATTTGCAGTGGGTGTGTTTGGGTCTCTGTGCCAGGACGACTGCTGCTGAGATGTTCCAAGAAGTCCCTCGTGGGCTCTCCTGATGCTGCTCTGCTCATGCAGTCCTGGGCCAGGCCCTGGGTGGAGGGAAGGGCTGCGGGTGCTGGGAGCTGCAGGGCAGCCTCATGCTGCTCCAATGGCCCCCAGAGCCCCACGGGGCAGCACTGCTGGTGGGGTTGGCTGGAACGGCTCCCCGGCCTCTTCCTCCTGCAGAGCTGCAGGGCAGCACTGAAGCACCTGAGCCTGTGGCTGTTGGAAGGGCTGTCTGTGCAGGACTTGTGCCCCAGTGATTGTTCATGGTAACTGGCTGATAGTTTGGGAAGCAGATGCTTTTTTTTTTTTTTTTTTTTGAGAAGCTGGAAGAAACATGTCAGCGAGGGAGCAGCTGATGGTTTCCAGCCTTTGTAGTTGTCAGTGAGCGCTGTGAGACCAGCCATCGACAGGCTGAGTGTGGGTGTTGCTTATTAGGAAAAATTTCAGGTTGGATATTAGGAACAAATTATTATCCAGAGGGCAGTCAGCACTGGCACAGCTACCAGGAAGTGGGAGGCACTGCCCCAAAGTGCTCCAGAGCTGTGGGGATGTGGCACTGGGGACACGGTCTGTGGGCATGGCGCTGGGGTTGGACTTAGGGATCCGAGAGGTCTTTTCCAACCTCCGTGGTTCTGTGGTTGGTGTAGCCAGATGAGGGATACTTGTGTGGGGGTGAGCAGTGTTCCTTGTGGAGATGTAGCAGGGTGAGGGCAGTTGGTGTGGAATTAGCCCCTGCACTGCCAGGAGCCTCCTGTGCTGAGGCTGCTTGGCCCCATCCAGCTGAGCTGCCTGCTCCCTGTGGCGGGGAAGGAAGGGGCAGGCGGTGCGGTTCCTGTTGTTAAGTGAGCATTAAATATAGATTATTAAGCAATTTTCTTCAGAGGAAGTGTAGCAACGCCGCTGCAAGCATGCACAGTGTTTGGGCAGGGTGAGCACTGAGCCTGCTGTGCTGCGTGCAGCCGGCCCCAAACAGACCCGTGCTTCTGCTCTGTGCAGCAATGCGGTGTTTCCTGGTAGGAACCTGGTGCTGCCCTGCAGGAGCTCTGCCTGCTGCCTCCGTGTGCCACAGGGTCAGGATGGGACTTTCCTTGTGCTGGGGGTGGAGTTGTGAAATCAGTTTCTACGTTCTATAAATTCCCTTCTGCAGTATTTCCACATGTCTTGGGGAGGGGCTTTGTGTTTGGGAAACAGGCACTCCAGTCCCCAGGTGGTAACAGAAGCCGCTTTGCAGAAGGATGATGTGGACGATTCTTCAGGATGGTGGGGGTGAGGAGGTGGCACCGGGGAGCAGAGATGAGTGGGGGGCAGCGCGGGGGACGCCCAGGCTGGAGGGCTGCTGCCTGCTGTGCTTTTGGCCTCTGCGAGCTTTGGAAGGAGCTCTGCAGGCAGAGATGAGCTGAGCTGTTCACGGCCTGCCCTTGGCAGCTGTGCCTCTGAGGATGCTGGCAGCCTTGCTGGCGGGACCTGGGCAAGCAGGGCTTGGTGCCGCTCACAGGGCTGCGGGGAATGATGGACGTGGCTGGGGATCCCCGCTGAGGTCCTGGCTGGGGCCACGTGCTGCAGCCCTCCCAGCCTGCCCACGGCCCTGTCTTCTGCACTGCATCAGCAGGGTCACCACCATCTCCTTCCTTGCCGCCCGTCCCCAGCTGCCTGCAGCTTTCTCCCATTCTGGCACCCTGTGAGAGCTGTAACCCTCCTCCAGGAAGGGCAGAGTTCTCAGGGAGTGGAGCGCTACTGTAGCTGTTCCCGTAAATGTTTTAGCTGGTAACCCTATATTGCAGTAACAAGCCAATACATCACTTTTTAAAGGGCATTTTATTTGGATTGCTTGTTGCCATAGTTACGCAGCTGGACCTCCAGCACACAGTGCCTGTGCCTGCTTCCTGTCAAGTTGGCTTTGCTAAGGAATTGCCGTGCTGCCATCAGCACAGCCTGTCCTGAACACCCGGGATGGAGATGGAGAAGGGAGAGGAACCCGCAGCAGATGAGGGAGAATGTGGGGCAGGAGCTGCCCTTCCCCAGAGCACGGAGAGGACAGACAGATGGAGAACTTTGGTGACTTGGGCCTGCTGTCATTTTAGCACGGTGCGTAGCTGACTGCAGTGACCCATATTGGCAGCCCAGGTGTGTGCCTGGCTGAGGCAGGACAGAGGGGTTGGGATGAACTCCAGGAGACTCAGCAACGTGCCGTGCATTTGCTGTTCACAACTCCTCTTCTTCTCAGGTGAATGTTGCACTTGCTTTCTGATTGCTTGTGTTGTGCCATAAAGAAGCCTTAAAGGAGAGGGGAGTCCTGCTGCAGCGCTGGATTTTATTGCTTTGGTCTGCCTGCTGGCATACAAAAAGCACTGTGTGGAACCATGGCAGATTTTTGATGTGAGGAGGTGCTGGGTGCCTGCCTCGCTCCTGGGGTCTTTGAAGAAGCTGTGTTTTGGCAGCTGAGGTTTACTTAGAAGTGCTGATGTGAGGAGCAGAGAGTACAGCTGAGCTCTGTGCCCCACACTGCAGGGGGTGTTTGTGGGTGCAAGAAAGGTTCAAGTGCTGAGCAGCAATGGGGTCGTGTGCCAGCATCTTTTGTGGGGAGCCTGCTGGCAGAATTTGGGTTTGGTGAAGCTGTGGCTGGGCTGCCAGGGGCATCCCTGCGGGTGCTGGGCCTCCCTGCTGCTCTCTGAGCTGGTGGGGAATGGCCATGGCAGGACCAGCCCCTGGAGGTGCCCGCACCCCTGGCCAGCTGCACTGCTCGCTCTGTGGGGTTTTTCTGCCTTTGTGGTGGTGGTTTTACCTCATTTTTTGGTCAGCTGACAAAGCCAGACAGAGAAGTTGGAGGCAGAACGTGTGCAGGCTAGGTTTGACTCATGTGCGTGGGGAGCTGCGGGATTTTGCTCACGCATGAGGGAGGGCAGAAGTTTCTCTCCAGTTTTTGCAGGATTTGGTTTGCTCTCATGCCTGGGGAGAAAACAGGCCTGAGTCAACCCTTCCCTCCCAGCACGCTGCTGCCGTGCTCGTGCTCCTTACACAGGAGGAGTTCTCCCCAAATTACGATGGGCAGTGGGATGTGAGATGTGCCAGTGGGATCTGGGTCCCTGGGTGCTGCCCAGCTCCATTTCTGACCAAGCTCAATGCTGTTTTTAGCAGCTGCTGTTGTGTCACTCAGTGGGCGGCTGGGAGTGACTTTCCTTTATCACTGCAGCACTGGGGGTTATCTCCTCTCTTGGCCTCTCCCATGCCTATTTATAAGTGCTGTAGACCAGTGCAAAAACATCTTGGGTTTGGGTTGCCCCTGCCTGGCCTGCGGTGGGGAGACAGCGGCCTTGGTCGGGGTGTCTGCAGCCCAAGTGTGGCCAGGGTCAGCATGGAGCCAGCAGAGAGGAAATGGCTCCTTGAGTCATTAGCGTCATCTCCTCGTTAACATCCCCCTCCTTACCATACCAGAGGAGCAGGAGGCTGTTCTGCGCCAGGCTGAAGCCTCTGAGCTTCCGTGGGGCAAAGCTGGGTGCTGTGCTGGGGGTGCTGCTGCACATCCTGGGCTGTGCAGGTGCTGCCCTCTGACACTGTGGTGTCAGCATCAATCTGGAGGGCTGGGGGCAAACCTAGCACCCCCGGTCACTCCTGCAGCACCCCCAAGCACTGCACACTGCTGTCCATTCCTCATTCCTCTGTGGTCCTGCTGCATTAGGAGCACGTTGTGCTGGGTGCAGCATTGCTCCTGGGCTGAGTTGCAGGCAGGATTAGCCCTGGGGATAGAAGCAGGTGCTGGGAGAGCAGCTTTAGTGCTTGAAGAAAGCTTTCAGCTCCTTCCTTCCACCACAAAAGCAGAATGCTTGAATTCTTCCACAGCTCTCGCTTGGTGTTCAGTGCCTGGGAGGAGCAGTCTGTGTGAACACACGTTTTCGTTCTCTGCACGGAAAGCGAAAAGCTCCCTGGATGTTGAGAACACTGAATGAAACGCATGGGGAATTTGGGGAATTTAGCATGGTTGGGGTCCCTGTGCTGCTTCAGAACAAGTTCCTGTCAGGCCTGAAGCTTTGTGGTTCCTGGGGATGTGTGTGCAGGGTCATGGGGCCAGTTCGAAAAGCCAAGCCTGGATCCGCTCAGGTCATCTCGAGTAATAACTTAATAGGATTCGGCTCTTGGAGAGAGTCTGTGACTTGTAAAGCAGTCGTTCTCTGCAGCAGTGCCTGTAAACAGAGCTGTGCTGCAGCAGGGCTCGCTCTCTGGGGCACTGTGGAGCTGTGGGCCCTCACCTCTGGTGCCTGCCCTGCATGGAGGGCCCTTGGTGTAACATTCCCAGGGGGGCTGGTGGGACCCTGTGCTGGGTTGTGCTGCTCCCCGCCCCCATGCTGACGTCTGCATTTCTCCTCTCACAGATCTGTCGTCGGCCAAGCGCAAGTTTGCAGATTCCCTCAATGAATTCAAGTTCCGCTGCATCGGCGATGCTGAAACAGACGATGAGATCTGCATAGGTGAGAGCTGACGGTGGGTTGGCGGGGGCTCTGATGATGCTGCCAACCCCAAGCAGAGCAGTGCATGCGTAGGGACGAACACGGACATGGGGGGACCCAGAGGTTCACCATTCCCTGCTCTCTGGAAGCAGTGCATTTCTCCTTGTTCATCAACTTCAGAGCCTTCGCTAGGAGAGAAGTTGTAGCTTCTCGCCTGAAGTCTGCCTCTACCAGAGAAAGAAAGGAGGAAGATTCCTTCCTAGATATGGAAGGCCATATCTAGAAACCATCTAGATTATTATATGCCCTTTGACATGTGAGGGCAAGGATCTGGAGATGTAGTCATGGCTAGAGGTACCGCCAGTGGCTGTGGTCTGCAGGAGGGGAGCACAGCTTGGCCACATGCCTGCAGGACGTCCAGGCAGCCACTGCAGGGCTGTGGGTGAGCGCTCAGAGGGCGATGCTGTGAGGGTCTGGCAGGACTGCGCCCAGCATCTCCCAGTGCTAGGGGACAGCTTCACCTGCTTTATTCAGTGTTACCCTGTTTCTGCCTGGGCTGGACTTTCAGAGTTCATTGTACATGTATGTAGTCTGGAGCCAACAGAGCACATGAGATTTAGTCCTGATTTTCTTGCTGATTTGTGCTGGTCTCTTGGCCAAAATAGCTTTCTTATGCAAGTGAGGCTCTGTCTCAAGTGCACGCACCGTGCCTGCTGTGTTTGAGTGTTATTTCCCTGGACATTTGGGACAGGCCCCTTGCTCCTTGATGCCCATAGCAGCCAGCCTGCCATAGGAGCTGCTGGGCAGCAGGAGCCAGCCTGAGCAGCAATGAGTGCTAGAAATGTGATGCCATGGCTACTTGCACGTCCAGAATTAAAAAAGAAAATGCTGTTAAATTCTGAAACTGTCCACGTGTCCCTTACAGCCAAGTCTCTGCAGGAGTTTGCCACAGTGCTGCGGAACCTGGAGGATGAGCGGATGCGGATGGTATGGACTTGGGAGTGGGGAGACTGGGGATGGAGAGCGGGTCTGATAGCAGCACTTCAGCTGCCTTCAGGCCGCTGATCTGATGTGCAGCTGGAGGAAGGTGAAGTGTGTGTGTTCCAGTGGGTGGTGATGGCAGTTTGTAGGGGGGGATCCTTGGTACAGCAGCCCCAGTGCTGGTGTGTCTGCAGGGACTGAGCGGAGAGAGGTGGTCAGCAGCACAGCTCTCAGCTCTGAGTGGGACACAAAGTGCCCACGTGCACAGTGCTGCCCAGCTGGGGACCACAGGGTGACTCTGTGTCCAACAGATTGAGAACGCCAGCGAGGTGCTGATCACACCGCTGGAGAAGTTCCGCAAGGAGCAGATTGGTGCTGCTAAGGTAGGTGGCTTTGGCCTCGCATCGCTGTTGGGTCTGTGAGCCTCTGCGTGGCTCGAGGCAGTGCTCAGAGCTGCCTGGTGCTGTCTGGGATCTGATGTGCCGCAGGGATGGGCTCTGCTGGCCCTGGATGTGGGAGGGAGACAAGGACGATCCGGCTTACGTGAAGTGCCTTGGTGTTTCCTGGTTCACCCTCAAGCATGTAATGCGCCAACACGAGCTGTTGACCAACAGTTAGATTTTTTCTTCCTCCAAACCAGAATTAACATTTTGCAAGGTGAATCCTCAGTCTCTGAACTCTCAGTCAGCTGAAACCTTTCAGTTCTGCGCTCACCCGGCCCCAGTGCATTGGAGATCTGGGCATCGTCTGGCAGGGCGAACCCAGGAACACACCCATGTGTCCCAGGCTGCTGTGGGACAGCCTGTCCCTGCCTGCCTTTCTTTCCTGCCTTTGTTCTGGAATTCGAAGCACTGCCCGTGGCTCTGCTGTTGTTATAACAGCCTGCTGCTGACAGCAGGGGGCACGTGCCAGCCAGCGGGGCTGTTTGCATTGCAGTGGTGTGTCCTGTCCCAAGGTTGCTCTGGTTTGACTTGTGCAGCCAGAAAAGAAAAACCTCCAGGGGAATCCTACAGAAGAAGCACTGGCTATTGATGTGCTGGGTTCTGTCGGTACGCGGGGCCTTGCTGCCTTTGAGGCACTGGTTGGATGTCCCCTGGCCGGGCAACCTGGGAGTGCAGCTCTGCACGATGCTGCTTTTAGTCCAGGAGTCAGCCCAGCTGTTCCCTCTGTGCCCTGGTGCTGGTGTGTTTGGGGCTGCAGTGTTCTGCATGGCTGTCTGTGAGCGCTGACAGCTCTGCATGTTGCAGAGGGCTGCTGTCCTGCCCCACACAGGGCTGTGGGCTGGGTGCTGCTGCCCATCCCTCTGCAGCACCTCGTGGCTGCCAGTCCAGCATCCATCAGTGCCTTGGAGCTGTGCACAGCTGGGTAATGAGAAGCAGATGAGGGAGCTGCTCCCTGCTGCTGCCTCCCTTCCCTGTCCAACTTGGGCTCTTCAAAGCGTGTCTGTTCTGGGTGTGGCTTTAGGGCTGCTATCAGTTTTTGGAACAAACTTTAAACAAAGCCAGCTGCGTGGCCTTGCACGGGCATCTCTGAGCAGAGGGTTAAGGGCAGGAAGCTGAATGCTGGGCTGGGGGCTGTGCTCCCGTGTGGGTCCCATGGGCAGTGTCCTCAGCATGCTGCTGGGTCTCCTCGGCTGTTGTGGTGCTGCTGGATCCAGGCTCACACTGTTCTGTTCTGCAGGATGCCAAGAAGAAATATGACAAGGAGACTGAGAAGTACTGTGGTGTCCTAGAGAAGCACTTAAACTTGTCTTCCAAGAAGAAGGAATCCCAGCTCCAGGAGGTGAGAGCAACCTCGAATTTTCAGTGTCTAGCAGTAACTGCATTGAAGTTTTTGAGTATTTTCTGCATCTTCTAGTGTTGGTTTTCTTGGCTATAAGCTACTTTTTTTCCTGTGCTGACTGTGAGTGGCAGGTTTTTCCCTCTTCCTTTAATCAAAGGGGACAGAGCTGTTTTGGTGAGTAAGTCAGAGCGATCCCAAAATGGATAGCAATCAAAAAGGATAGAGAGCTTGTAATTAAAGAGTGTAGCAGTAGGGGAACTGGTTCTGCTGCAGGCTTCCCATGTGCCATAACAAATCATGTACGTTTTTATTCTCCTTCTCTAGAAGTGGCTGCACTGGCTTTGAGCTTCGTGGGAAGAGTGATCAGGCTTAGTGCTTCTAAACTGCTTTAGGAGCCTGTTACTTGGGACGTAGTTTGCTGCTGTGCCAAATGCTCTTACTGGATGAGAACCCTGCTTTTGCAATCACTGCTCCCATGTCTGGAATTCCTGAGCTGCCCAGGGCTGGGGCAGGCGCTGCGCTGCAGGGCAGAGTGCTGGCATGTCACCGGGGGCTCGGTGGGCACAGTGATGATCTCTGCACTGCGGCAGCTCAGCTGTTTGTGGCCCAACTGGATGTGGACCCCATCTGTCTCAAGAGAGCAGAGTGGCACGGCTGTGGCACGGAGTCATCTTCCACTAAACCAGGGCTGGAGAGGGGTCTGCATCTGGGCTGACGTGCCTGGCTGTCCTGGCAGGGATGTTCTGGGTCTGTGAGCACTTTGCTTTGTGGCAGCATCCCTACATCCCAGCAGGTGCAGAGCTCCGCTCTTGTGGCTCTTCAGTAACCTTTTAAACCCATATTCTGGTGCATGTTTAAAATTCTATGGCGAGATACTGGAGTGGAAGGATTTCTTTGTGGAGAAGGAGCTACTTGTGGCTGCAGCAGCGTTTTACGGAGCTGTGATGTCATGTCCTGCCCAGGGTATGGGAGCAATACAGGAGCCAGGGCAGCTAAGTGTGGGGTGTTGGTGTGCTGTACCACGCGGATGCTGTGTGTGGTGCTGTGCCATGCAGAATGCTGGCTGCGTGTGCTGTGCTGGTGTATTTAGCAGCACTGGATGCTGGTGCCATCTGCTGGCATCTTCCACCTCGCACTTCGACTTTTGCTACAAAAGCTGGAACCAGCTGCTGCTGCTCCTGGGTTCAGGAGTTGGGATCTTTCTTGCCTGAGACATTACAAAAAGCAGTTATGGCAGATGTCCTCAGGAAGGATGCTGATGAAATGGTAATGATTTAGGAAAACCAACGCCAGCTGATTATTAGCAGCCTGAACCCGTCTTAGACACCCTGAGAGCCGGAGAGGAGAGTTTGTGTCAGGGCAGTTTGGTGTTTTATGTTTCCTAATCTCTTCCTGCTGTCCACATCTGGAAGGTGGTGGTGGCCGCATGCGTGACTGCTGCAGCAAAGCAAGAGGAGAAGGAAACCATGGGAATTCTCTGCTGCTCTGGCTGCTGACCAATTAAATAACACCCTGAGTCTAATCTGTTGTTTAACTCCTGGCAAAGTTCTTTTGTTGCATCACATTTAGTGCTCAGTTTGCTGAAAACTCAGCCTCTTCACCACAGACACCCAGCACAAGTGCTGCAGGCAGGTCTTGGGGAAAATGTTCCACTCTATGGCCGTGTCCTATGGAAAATCAGGAGTGAGCTGGGGAAGGAGAGGGGGATGCCTGTGTTCCTTACCCTGCTATCAGTGCAGCGGCTCTGCTCCAGCACACAGTGAGGCCCTTCTGTTGGGGAATATCCCAAATTCTGCTCCCTTCTGCTTTCTCTCCCAAGCAGAGGGCATGTGCCGTCCTCTGGCCCGGCACAGGAGCAGCCCTCACTGGTGGCATGGTGGGATGTTGTGTCACTGCCTGGAGCCCACGGTGCTGCTGGCAGCCTCTCGATGCACTGCTTTCCAGAAAGTGCAGAATTGCCTTTCGTTGTCAAGTATGCAGCAACTTCTCCTTTCTCCCACTTTTAATTCGTGCTCTTCTACCCAGCTGTCAGGGAGGTGTGAACGTGAGTCATCGAAAACGCTTTTTTTCAGCTAAAGAAGGAGCCTGTTCATGTGAATCAGGTTTCTATTTAATCGCTGTGCCATCTGGCCAGCCCCAGACTGATGTCTGAAGCTGAGTTAGCATCCCACGTGGACGCACCCCCATCAGCCCCTGCTGTCCTGTGCCATGGGGCTGGCTGCTCCCAGCCACGCTGACCTCCTGTTTCCTCTTTCATCTCCTGGTGCCTGCAGGCAGACAGCCAGGTGGACCTGGTTCGGCAGCATTTCTACGAGGTCTCCCTGGAGTATGTCTTCAAGGTGCAAGAGGTCCAGGAGAGGAAGATGTTTGAGTTTGTGGAGCCTGTAAGTGAACCCAACCCTTTTCATCCCACAAAACTGCTTGAGGGATGTGTTACTGTGTGAGGGCTGACAGGGAGCCAGGCTGGGGCATGGGGTGTCCCTGCATCCCTGTTACTGTAGAGCAGGTTTGGGGGCAGGGGCAGGACGTGCTTAGGAAAAGCCCTTGGTGTGGGGCTCAGCCCCAGACACACAAAGCGTTTCTTTGTATGTATTGTGGGCATTTCTATTGTGATGGACTGGGCCGTGGGGCCTGCTGACAGCTGCAAAGGGAATGGGCTCAAGTGGGAGCAAAAAAATAGAAGCTGGAGAGACTGTAACTTTCAGGGGAAAAGAGTGCAGGAATGACAGAACAAGAAAAGAATTAAGCTTTGTAGGACCTGCCTTTTGCTCACTGCTAAGTCCTCTACTGCTCCTCCAGGAATCATAGAACGTCTTGGGTTGCAAGGGACCCCAAGGATTGTCGAGTTCCAACCCTCCTGCCACAGGCAGGGCTGCCAGCCACTAGATAAGCACTGGATCAGGCTGCCCAGGCCCCATCTGACCTGGCTTTTCTCACCTTCGGGGTTGGGGCATCCACAGCCTCTCTGGACCGCCTGTGCCAGCACCTCACCACTCCCTCTGTAAAGAACTTCCCCCTGACATCTAATCTAAACATCCCTTCCTTTAGTTTAAAGCCATTCTCCCTTAACTTATTATTATCTACCCGTGAAAAATACATGGTAAGAGTCAAAACCACCTCTGCTGTTTGCAAGCAATCATTCCTTCTGAATGAAGAATAGCTCCAAGTCCAGAGAAGCATGACCAGGCTGTGACTGCCTGGCTTGGTGCCACATCTCAGCTCCCAGTGCAGCATCAGAGTGATGTGGTGCAGAGGGGCACAGTGGACAGAGGGGGGTGGAATTTGGGTATCAGTTGGGTCATTGGGGTTGATTGAAGCAGGAGGACAAAGTGGGCTGGAAGAGAGGGCTGCACTGACAGTCTTGATTCGTTTTGTCCCAACGCAGCTGCTGGCCTTTCTGCAAGGGCTTTTCACCTTCTACCACCACGGCTATGAGCTTGCAAAGGACTTCAGTGACTTCAAGACAGAGCTGACCATCAGCATCCAGAATGTAAGTGTTTGTGTTGCTGTGCCTGTCTGGCAAAGAAAACTCGCACACGCTTTGGTAGGTTTAAATTGAGATGGTTTCTCTCTTTTTGTGTGTGTGTGTGTGTGTGTGCCCTCAAGCGAAGGGCTTGACAGTGTAATGGAAGCAAATTCTTTGTTATAAATAACGCTGTGCCACGCACACAGTCTGAGTGGCAGTTCTGCACAGTGTCTCAGCCTTCGCATGGGTGCTGCAGGGTTGTTCCTGTTTTGATTTGCAGACGAGGAATCGCTTTGAAGGAACGAGGTCAGAGGTTGAATCGCTGATGAAGAAGATGAAGGAGAATCCTCACGAGCACAAAAACATCAGTCCTTATACCATGGAGGGGTATCTCTACGTCCAGGAGAAACGTAGGTGCTGAGGGCAATGTGGGGTGTGGGCGTTGGGGGACACTGCTGGGACACAGAGGCAAATTTGTCAGAATGCAGAATGTGGGAGGGCACTGGCCCTGCGGTGGGCTGTTGTGGCATCAGTCAGTGCTTGGGGAGTCTGCTTCCTCTTTTGCCTGAATGAGAAGAGCTAGCAGTGCTTGTGCCACCTGTAAAGTACAACAAGAATCGTGGATAGAGAAACGTGTCGTGTTAAACGATGGTTAAACTTACAGCTTAATAATGGGTGTGCATTGAAGCTCTACTGGTTCTGGGGGTAAAAACTGCGTTTGCTTTGCAGGTCACTTTGGGACCTCCTGGGTGAAGCATTACTGCACGTACCAGCGGGAATCCAAGCGGATAACCATGGTGCCATTTGACCAGAAATCTGGAGGAAAAGGGGTGAGTGTCTGTGCAGGGCCCTGGGCAGAGCTACAGGCTGCTCGGGCTGAGCCAACCTCAGCAGTGGAACGCTGACACCAGCAGGTGGCTCACCTTCACTTCAGCTGAGTGAGTGCCACGCGATGAATGAGCTCTGCACCTTGCTCAAAAAAACCATCTCCAGCAGATGTCTGGGAGCTGTCAGCTGCCCTGGCAGCACTGCTGGTTTCCCGATTGTTTGGAGCCCCTCAGACACAGCTCTGTTTCATGCTCCACTCTCTGTTCTGGTGTCTGCATGCAGCTATCTGTAAGGACAAGTTTACAGCAGCTGCCTGCAGTTACAGACCGGCCTTTCTCCTCTTGTCTTAGATCTGTCCTTTATTTATTTCTATTTGTGAAAGGAGAAAGCTTTACAAACTGAAGCCTGTGCAGCTGCACGCTGGTCCTGCTCAGGTTGTTCTGACCACATGGGATGTGCAGCGTGCTGAGCATCTTGTCTGTGTGCTGGGTGCCCTGCAGTCTGTTAGTGCCAACCGGTGCACCGTTGGTGCAGCGTAAAGAGATGGGGTCACCCAAGGCTCTGCCTGCTCTTGGCCTCTCGAGCACTCCTGGGGCTGCAGCTGGCATCAGATGGTGGTTCCAGGGCAGGGCAGTTCCTGAATACAGAGTGCTGAGCCAGGCTGATGAGCTGCAGGGTGCAGGCGGCCCCCCAGGAGCAGCCCTGCAGAAACCGTTCAGATCTGTCTTCCTGGGTCCCTGCTGTGGCCCTAAATAGGTTTCCTGGAAAATGATGATGTCAGGGAACAGGGTGGTCAGCCAAGGTGTCAGCTGGAACAGCACAGAGTGCACAGAAAAGTGGCTGTCTCCAGGAACTCGCTCAGAATTTGCCTTGTATTGAGTCATCAAGGGATTTTAAAAATTGCAGGAGAATTTTGTGTGCTGGCAGAGTCTGGGCAGGGGTTTCCTCCAGCAGAGGACGGCAGTGTGTGCAGATCCTGCCTGACCACTGCTCGGCGTGGGGAAATCCAGTACTTGGATGCAGATGCCTGGATGGGAGAATGCTTTTGTCATTGCTTTGTCAAATAATAAACATAATCATATCTTAAGGCATACTTGCTCCTGTTAAGAGTTTCTGTGTGAAGAATGCTGCCAAATATGCAGCCAGTGCCAGAGTGAAAACTGACAGCCAAGGTTATGATGCATTGTTCAGCAATGGAAAATAAAACTTTGCCCAATAATTGTGGTGCAGCACTCCCTGCCTGCCTGAAACATGGGTTGTACGATACTCAGTGCATAAATGTAGTCTGCATTCAGAAAGGATGGTTTCTTGGTTTTGGCCTAAGCATTTTGGATATATGTTAACGCATTTCTAGCAGGTGGTGAGTGGCTGATGTTGCTAAACAGCCCCTCTGGTTTGAACGCGCTGGTTGGAGCCTGGGGGCAGGCATGTATGGAGGGGTTGTTCTCCTCCTTATCTGTGATTTTGTCTCTTCTCAGGGAGAGGATGAAGCCGTTATCCTGAAATCTTGCACACGACGGAAAACCGACTCCATTGAGAAGAGGTTCTGCTTTGATGTGGAAGCCGTGGATCGGTGAGTGCAGGGCAGGAGGCTTTCCTGGCTGCTGCCCGGGTGGATTTGGGGTTTGCCTTCTGCTCCAGTCATGCCATCTGTGGCTGGGAAGCATTAGTCCATGGGAACACGCTTCCCCTGCTGTTCCTGGCCAGGTGATTGCAGGATGTTGAGTCAGTGCTTCGTTTTACAAGGTACCGAGTTTACTTTAGGCTCTCAGAACTGAATGGTGTTGTAGCATTTTTGCAGACTCTGGGCATGTGAGCTAAATGGTCACGAGTGTGGCAAAGTCGCTGCGTGTGTTTTGGGAGGAATGGGATGCCTCTTTCCTGCGTGGGTTCTGTGCTGAAAGAACTTCAGCTCTTGTGATGCTCTGCTGTAGACGTCGATGATGGAAATCCAGCTTGCGTCTTTGGGCACTCTAAATTCACATCTTTTTTCCTGAAGTTATAAAATGCTTCCTGGCCTGATTTTCCTTTGAGCAACTGAACCAGACATACATCTGCATTCAGTCTGTAGCACTAGGAATGAGAGCCTTGTCACTGCGTTGAACTAGTATCACACGTGTGCTGAATACACACAGGAGAGCCAGGCTGAGCTGCTGTTCTGAGCAGCCTTTGTTGGTCACTGCCTCGTGTTTTCCTCTCTGCAGGAAGTTACGTGCTTTACAAAAAGCCCTTTGCTGGCTGTAGTGTAAATACAAGGAGGTCCATAAGAACTCAAGTTCAGCAGAACTCAAGGTGCTGGTGGTGCTGGCTGCGTTTCCCGGGCATCTGTCAATTCGTCCATGCCTGCCCAGCCCTTCTTGGTGGGGATGCTGAGAGCAGATGGGATTGGGATGGTCTTGTAGCTGCTGCTCGCTCTCTGTGGCTCTGCTTTCCTCCAGAAAGCTGCAGGATTTCTGCTGACGTTGGCATTTTTCCCCTCTGCTCTAAGGGGAAGTGTTGGTTTTTTTTTTTTAAATGTGAAAATCAAAATAAACCCGGGAGGAGGAGAAGCCAGCCGCCACAATAGCTTTCTTCTGTCGTGCTTTCAGAGCCAGCCGAACCTCCCCTTGATGTCTGCAGCCTGCTGGGCACAGGATCAAGAGCTGCTCCAGAAATATGCTGCTAAATGTAAATAATGGCAGGGGAGTGGCAACGCGGGGAAACCTGAGAAATTGCTCCTTTCACGTCCGCGTTCCCCATTCCCTGCCTGAAAGGGCTGTGAGAGCAGGAAGCGCGAACCGACGGGCTGCTTTTCCCCAGCACACAGGCAGCTCTGCGTATTTTTGGTACCAGAATTTGTCCTGAGAGCTCCTGAGTAACAGCACCTTCTGAAACGGGTGAGCTGAGGGGAAGAGGAGGCAGAACTCTCTGCAGTGTCCACCCCATCTCTGACCCACTCTGGAGCCGTGCCTGCGGGCCTGAAGTGTGGCTGTGGGCTTTGCTGGAGATCCCCCACTCCTGGCTGGTGCTCCCCGTTGGCCTCCCATGGGAAGCAGCACGTCGAGGAATGGCTTTCATGCCAGCCCAGGGCTGTGGGGGCTCGGCAGCATGTGGGTGCTGCCCCACAGCTGAGCTGTGTGGTGTGGGTGCTGGTAGGGACGGATGGGTGCTAGGCATGTGGTCTGTGCTGGTTTGGGTCGCCAGGAGGGGGATTGGATAAGGCTGCACCCCGCTCCTCGCACAGACCCGGCGATGGCATGGCTCTCACTGAGGGTGCTGCAGCACATCCGTGCCCGTTTTGCAGCATGGTTTGTGCTGTGGGCTCTTTGTCGCGGTCTGGTTGTGTTTTAGTTTTGGCCTGTGGACCTTTTGTTTTGTGGTTGGTTTTTTTTAATTGTCTCTGCTAATAAAGAAGTTGGAAACTTGACGTCTTGTTCTTCAGCCCCACGCAGGAAGTCTGGATGTCATTAAGGCAAACAGATCCCCGGGATGCTCCTCTGTGTCACATATGTGCTGTGTTTTGACTGTGAGCAGTTTTCCCTCTTTCTTTTCTGTATGCAACTTCAAACTTGCACACCATGGGGACCACGTGAGTCCGTGCCCTGCCCAGACTCTCCATGGGGCTTGTTTAATTGATGCTAAGCCGGCTGGGCACAGAGCAGCTTATCCCTGCTTCATTGTGTCTGGATGAGCCGTGGCTCTCTGCTGCCGCGGGGCAGTGCTGTGGGTCAGGGTGACTCTGCTGCGTGCTGCTGGGGGCTGTGCTGCACCTGTCTGTGGGGCCGAGGCCAGCGTGCCAAACCCAGCACGCAGCCATGCACGCCTGTAAGGCCGGAGCGCGTTGCGCGTTTCACTTAAGTATTTTTATCTCCCGTTGCCATGAATTTTGGGTGGCTTTTCAAACTGTTGATCCCAGTTTGGGAAGGTGCTTTAGGGCTCTGGGGTGAAAGCAGGCTGTGGCTCAGCAGAGCCCTGCAGCCTGGAGGTGGCAGCCTTGGCTTTGCTTCCTTTGGTTGCACTCAGAGGCACAGACCTGGGCTCTTGGTGTGCTGGGGGGGGCATGCGGCGGGGCTGGGGGCTTGGGCTGCTTTGAATAATGTCCAGAGAAGCTGTTTGAATTGAAAGCTGATTGGAGAGGATGTGATTTTCTCCTCCAAGGATGATTTGGCGCCCCTGAACTGAACGCCTTGAGCCTGGTCTGTTATTACAGCATTGCTTCCTCTTCCTATTGTCTGACAGGAAATCCAAAATTCCCAATATTGAAGGCAGAATCACAGAACTGTAGGGGTTGGAAGGGACCTCCAGAGATCATCGAGTCCAACCCCCTGCCAAAGCAGGTTCCCTACATCAAGTCACAACGTGTGATAGAGGCATTTTCTGGGAAGACTAAGAGCTCCCCAGCCCTGCCTTTGCCAATAGTTCTGGGGCGGTTAGGAGTGTTGTAGCTTGTAGCTGAGAAGACACTAAATATTATATATATATATTTACTATATATTTATATACTTTGTTATACCAAAACAGACCTCAGAATGGGGTTCCAGCATCTGGCTGAAATATTCCCTCATGTGATGGACAGTGTGGTTTGCTGGTAATGCCCTTTTTTCAAACTAAACTAATTTGGAGTCTCTGTGCATTAAGTCAGTTTTATAAACAAGGTAAGCAGGGATGACAGCCAATGTCTTACCAAATGAGCCTCAGGAAGGGGAGGATCTCGTTTGGCTGATGACAGAGGCTTTGAAATTTAGGACAGTCCAGGTGGTTTCTCTGGGCCAGAAGCTAAGTGCCCCTAATGGTGATTGGCACTTATGGGAATCGGAGGTATTGGGTGTGTGGGGTTTGGGTCCCTTGGTGAGTGATGGGAGCAGGAACTCTGCTGGTCCCGCTGTGCCCCGGAGCAGCTGGCATTGCTGCACGCCCTTCGCTCACCGGCTGCTTTTGGTGCCATGCAGCCATGTGTGTTCCATGCCTGGTGTCACATTTCCAGTGGCCTTTCAAAGTGGTTCACAGGGAGCTGCTGGAGCTGCTCAGCCCGGTCTGTGCTGCGACTGATGGCAGAGCGCATCTGCAGCGTCGGAGGGGAAGCTTGCCTTGTAATGAGCAGTGGGACCTGAGCTGGGAGTCCCCTAATTCCCTGCCCTCCTCATCCCCTTCCACACCTCCTGTGCTTCTCTGCTCGTAGCGGGGCTGGAAGCTTCCTGGCCCTCCAGTCCTGTTATTAATCCATCTTTAGGCTTTCTCATTCGGCAGTTTAGATTGTCTCGATGTGATAAGCAGTTGCAGGAGTTGAAAGTTCTTATCTATTTCTATTGCTTTCATTATTTGTTTGTTTTTCTGGAAGGAGCAGCAGCTAGGGGACTTTCTCATTTTCTCTGCACGCTTAGTCATAGCTCCTTAAACCCAGGCTGTTTTTCACAAAAGCAGAGATATTGAGAAAATTCAAATTTCCTGTGTGGTCTCACATGGAAAAAATAGGTTTTAGATTGTAGCATATCAAAAATTTACTTTCTTGCAAAGTGTTTATCATGTTCCACTCTGGTCTCACGCTCCTGCATCTTTTCAGTCCAGAAACTTTCCTTCCAATCACAACATTTCCCCATTACGTCGCAGAAGAAGGCAAAAGGCTCTTGGTGCTGGGAGGTAAATGCCTGCTGCAGCCCCCAGCACTGGGTTGGAGGTTTGTTATCTTTGAGCCACAGAAGTCAGTGTTGATGTTTTCACTCTTGCTTCTGGCGTGAGCAATGGCACTGGGGCACAGGGGAGTCCTCTGCTGCGTGCAGCACATCAGGGACACAGATGTTTGTGTGTTAGGTGAGGGAACAGAGATGGGCATGTCGTGTTTATCTTCTGGGAGAGGAAGCCAGAGGAGGCCCTTCCCTGTCTCAGGCTCTACGCTGGGTAGCTGAGATACCCACAATCTGGCACACACACTTCTGGCAGTGGTTGATCTTTGAGGAAAGCCCTGACCGTGGGGCTGGCTGTAGGTGTGGGGCTGGCTGTAGGTGTGGGGCTGGCTGTAGGTGTGGGGCTGGCTGTAGGTGTGGGGCTGGCTGTAGGTGTGGGGCTGGCTGTAGGTGTGGGGCTGGCTGTAGGTGTGGGGCTGGCTGTAGGTGTGGGGCTGGCTGTAGATGTGGGGCTGGCTGTAGGTGTGGGGCTGAGGACAGCCTTGTGCTGCTGGGATGGGTGGGATGCTGGCCTGGCCATCCCAACCTGAGTGCGTGGCACCCCGTGGGCATGGTCCCAATGAATAATGGATGAGCCATAATGTGTGGGGTGCATTTGGAATGCGTCACAGCCAGGAAGATGGTTGTGCTCGGGAAAGTGGTGCAATGGATGCTCTGGCAAATGAGCACTGTGGGAGGAAATGCAGAGCTGTTTGCAATGTAAATGGATTTTTAATTCGGGTTTGCAGCCCCTCCCTGCACGCTGGTAAGTTTGGCTTTGAAGTGAAGCCCAAAGAGTTGTTATCGCTCAAAGGCAGAACAAACATTTTCGCATTATCACTTCTGTCCTGTGCGTGGGGGAACCTGGCACTGGAGATGCCTGCACTGTCTTTCTGGGACCTTGTCAGTTCTCTTAGGGGCCAGCATCAATTTTACTCGAGTGAACAGTTTCAATGTGTTTGTGTTGATGTTTCACAGGAGACAGAAATCTCTATTTCCTTTGCCCTCCCTGGCTTGCTGGAGCTCCCCCGCCAGTCGGCCTGAGCTTGAGCTGAGCTGCCCACCGCCTGCCTGTGCCGAGGAGGAGGCAGCTGCCCCCAGCCCGTCTCCAGCCCCTTGGCCCCTCAGCCCTTCTCCTGCTGCCCCTGTCTCCCCCAGACCACGTTGTCTGCACAGCACTGAGCTTTGTTCCCTGTGCTGACAGCATTCGGTGCTGGCTGTTGAGCGTTTTCTCTCTCAAATGGGGTGATGGTTAAGTGGTTTCCTCTTCCCTTCAAAATGAGTAAACTTCCAAACCACTAAGCTGGTGAGTATGGAATGACTCACCAATAGGATTAGCGGAGATCAAATACATTATGTCTGATTTACTTGGACCTGGATTTGTTGCAAGCCTGAGCATGCTGCTGCTGCGAACCTGCGCTGGGCTGCCTTGCGCGTGCTGCGAGTGAGCCCTGGGGTTGGCTGGCGAGGGGTTATTTCTTTGTTCCTTGCCCTTAAGTACCACAGAGCGATGGGAACGGGCCAAAACCACCACACTGAGCATCCCTGTTCGCGCTGTCATCTCTGACAGAGGATCAGCTCCTACCAAGAACTGAACAGCTTTTGTGCAGTGATCCTCTCCCGCTGGATCGCTTTTGGAAAGTGCAAGTCAGAAGTGAGCCCTGTTCCCAGGCCGTGTGGAGTTCTGCATTTAGTGGTCCCAAAGCATGCAACTGCCATGGCTTTCTGCCTCACCCCTGCGTGTTTCCTGCTGCAGTGCTGGGGCAGCTGTGTTTTGCTGGGTTGGGAGCTGCAGCATTACGTTCTCTCTGCTGCAATACCTTCTGAGAATGAACCCTAAAATCCCCCAGGCATTGCTGCAGACAGCTCTGACAGCCACTCCTGCTCATGCTGGATACATGCCTGTGTCTTCCCTGTTGCCAGGGCTTCTGCCCGCTCTCCTCCTGCAGAAATAGCAGCTGCACTGTGCTAATGCATCTGAAAATAGCCTGGAATGGAACAGACCGGGCCAACCGAACAGAACAGAAAAACTCATTGGATTTGCCACCTCAGCTGTGTCACTGAGCCCCTGCGGATCCCGGGGTGCTGAGGGGCAACCTGTGTTCCATGGTGTGCTGCTGGAGCTGGAGGGTGCTCTGCTGTGCTCAGTCAGTCACGACTTTGGTGACAGAACAAGATAATTGAGCGTTAGCTCCTGGTGTGGGAAGGGCAGAGCAAGGTCGCTTGGAAGTGGTGGAGGTGGTGCTGGCCCTGAGGCGAACGCCTGGCTGGTTTTGTTCCCTGACCCCCCCTGCTTTGCGTGCCAGCACTTGGGCCTGTTCTTTTCCCTTCTCATTAAAATAAATAAGCAGCCACAGAGTTGGTTTTAGCGTGTAGCTCGGGGGCTGCTGTGTGGGTAAGGGCAGGGGTCAGGGGCACGGCACGGTCACATTGATGTGTGTGATTTGTTTTTGGGGACAAAAGTGTTGAAATTCCTGATGCAGCAGAAGGTCCCCCTGTGAGCTGGTGCTTGGGGCGGTAGGACATGAAGTGCGGGGACACAGGGGCGTCCTGCTTGCTCAGGTGCCTTCCGTGTCCATTTCGTGGATGTGCTTTTAGCCCAAAGGCAGGTGAGCTGTCTGGGGTGCAGCGTCACGGGGTGCATGTCATACTGTAAAACCACTGCAGATGTGTGTTGATTATTGGAGATGCCTTCTGCTCCTTTTTGGTCCCGGCTGGGACCTGCAGGGACTTCCCAGAGCGGTTAGGCTGGCATCAGCCGCACCGTGCTGGGGCTTGGCGAGGAAGAAGGTCGTCATCTTTCTTTCTCTGTTTTACACAAGAACTTAATCTGTGTCTTGTTTTCTGACCTGCAGCTTATTTATGGTATTCCCTTTCTCCCTGCAGGCCCGGCGTGATCACCATGCAGGCGCTTTCGGAGGAGGACCGAAGGCTTTGGATGGAGGCAATGGACGGCCGGGAGCCGGTGAGCAGAAACATTGGTGCAGAAGTATTGGAGGAGAGCATGGAGAGCTGTCTGTAGCCTGGGGCAGCTCGCTGGCCACAAAACAGGCAGCCACGCAGCGCCTGCCAGCCAGTGCAGGAGCTGCATCGTGGGCAGAGCCCCTGCCGAGAGAATAGCTTAATCCTTTGGTTAAATATTTGAGGTTATACTGTATCTCCTGTGCTCCAATTGCTCGAAGGTGTGGTGGAAGGGAGGTGGGTAGGCTTGGCCAGCACAAACACGCTGCTGTGCTGTGCTGAAAGGAAAACACGGCAAAAAGAGCAGTAGAAAAAAGTACGCTGTAGATTTCTAGGGCTTTCCGAGTCCTGCGACTCGTCTGGCAACCGTTTCTGGGTCTTACAGAGAACTGCAGATCTTGTGTGAGTGGAGGAGTGGAGCCCATTCCCAGTACTCAGTGGTATTCTTCTCGATGCTGTGCTTGCTTCTGCTGTGCCAAAGCTGCACAAGCTGCCTTACTGCTGGGAGGGAATACGGAAGCTTTTCGGAAAACTGAATTTTTTTATTCTGAGCACATATGCAGACCGTAGTGCTGAGTTTTCTGAGCTTTGCCCTGCTCTGACTGGGCTGCTGCGGATGAGTGCTGCATGGGCTCTGTGTGTCGGTGGGATGGAGTGGTCCCATCCAGCAGTGGCAGTGCCACCATTGTAGAGGAGCCCACGGGTGCCAGGTGCAGCACAGTGTGGGCCTCTGCCTCGGCGTTGTTGGGAGCATGTAGGATGTGAAAATAAACTTTGCAGGCAGCTGGAGCCACGGCAGGACCGTCCGCGTGTGTTTGTGGAGTAAATGTCTGCTACTGGGCTGGAGCTGGGATCTGGCAGCCAGAGTTGGATCCACGTGGGGATCAGGGTGGCCCGGTCCAGCACAGCCCTGTGGCCTCAGGCTGGTGCTGGTTTGAGCAGAGCCCTCCCCCTGCAATCCGCAGAAAGGTCCTTGTTTGTCAGAAAGCATTCTTTAAGGCCACGTGGATACGCACGGGGCTGAGCGGTGAGCGCTGGAAGGCACGTGCTGGGTGTAGTCGAGCAGCTTGCTTTTGAAAGACTTGCAGTGATTCATACACCTGGATGGCTGTGTGTGTCTGAGGCACTGTGCTGTATCTCAGATGAAGCATTTCATTCGGGATTTCAGCTGGGATTCAGCCTGGGAATCAGGGATTCACTTGGCAATTCAGGTGTGATGGGACTTTGGGAGATTTCTGGTCCAGACTTCTGCTCCAAGCAGGTTATTGAAGCCAGGCGAGGAGGCAGACTTACTGCCCTATGGGGCACCAGCTCTGCTGCTTGGCCACCTTCAGTAGGAGAGTTTCTCCTATACCCATTCTGAGCATCTCCAGTTCCAGCGTGCACCTCTTGTCTGCCATCCTGCCATGCTCAGCTCTGAGCCTGGCTCTGCCTTGTGATGCCTTGTTGGTGTGAGGGTTGCTCCCAGGTCCCTGCTATGCTGAACAAGCCCCTCTCCGAGCCAAGTGAAGCCCACATCCCAACAGGGCATGTGCTGTGCTGTGTAGCTTGGACCTACCACTGATGGTGATCACACCTTTCTGCCACTCCCTTGAGTCATGTTATGCTTCTGGGATAGAAATGCACATTCACACCTGCAAACACACCATTTCCAAGAAGAGGAATTGTGAGAGATGCAAGCACAGAGGGCGGAAAAGAGACTGAGTATGCTTTGCCTGCTCAGGACAACCCCTGCTGACATTTTCTATCACCAGCCCTGTTTGGCCTGCTCCTTTGGCTCTTGAGCTGAGAGGCTCTGTCCTGGGGCAGCTGTGGTTGGAGGGTCCTCCTGTGTGAGGTTCACCAACCTCGCCAGCTCCAGCATGCAGGCTGTCTTGTTCCTTCTGAAATGAACTTCTGTCTTGGGGCTGTGTGACACCCAGATGCAGGATAGCATTTTCTGTTTCTTCGCTAATGAAAAGTGTTCTTGCTCATGATTTGAATCAAGGCTTGCTCTCCTTCAGCCACCTCCTTCCCTCTGCCTCACCTCCAGTGAGATGTAAGTGATGGGACGTGAAACCCAGGCACCTGCAACTGGAGCTGCAGGAATACAATCATCCAGTTGCATTTTTGACTTGCTGATGTTATCAGGATTTGGCGCAATAGTCAGCTGGTGTTGTAGGATAGGGTTGCAGAGGTATAGCCAAAGATTTTGAGTGTTTGTGAAGCCCTACACATGTGAAAGGGTCTGTGAAGTAACAGATGCAGGACTGCCTGGATTGGCCTGTTCCAGGGTCTGATCACATCAACTCATTCAAAAAACCCACAGGTCTTCATGCTGCCGCCTGTGGATTTCTGTTCTCCTCCGTCGTGCCCATCAGCTTTGGGTGGCTGGCTCATCCAGCACGTCAAGGATTGTTGCTACTCATTGATGCAATACCTGCTGGCACTGAAGTGCTATGGGTGCTCAAACCTGGCCTTCCAGGTGCGCTGTGGGAGCCATGGGAATGGAGCCTGGGTGGCAGTGGGTCCAAGAAGCATTTTTCTGTGTGTGCTGACAGGCAGGGTAGCTCCTTGTCCTCGGTTATCCTCCTCGATCTGTCAAGTGGATTTCTGGTCTGTTTTGTTTGAATTCTGAATTCTTGCCTTGCAGTGTAAGGGTGTGGGGTGTTACCTACACTGCAGAGATTTCCTTGAGGGAGAGACAAGGATTTGATGTTTGGAATCTTAGAAGCATCCATTCTCTGCTTTGACTGCAATTTTATAACAAAAAAAATACCCTTGTGGAAAGAATGTCTCATTTCCCTTTGGTTTGAATATTGAGTGTGGGAAAGATGGACGTGGTGGGGATGGTAATTCCGTGTGCAAATTCAGGCTAAGGAGAGATTAAAGTGCAGCGGAGTTTGTTTCTTAGTTATAATTAAAAAACTAAAACCAAATGTTGGATTGCATCGCAGGAATATCTAAACATAGAATGTGGGCTGCATTAGCTGAGACGTTTGTCGCAACTTGAAAAGATTTATTGTATCTCTCACAGTCAAAGCCGTCTCCAGATAGCAATTATCAGTCTGTTAACTCTTAGCGCTTGCTATTAATTTGGGCAAAACCCCTGTGCTGATTTTGGGTTTTCTTCTGTGTTGCGGAGGCTGGAAGTAGGGCAAAATGCTAACTGTTACAGAGCAATTGCATTCGTCTTTGTTAAGATACTCAGGGTGAGTTTCCTGTGTTTTTTTCCCTCTGGTGATGCAGTTTGTAGTGAGTATGGCGGAGGCTGGAGCGATTCTGAAAGCTGACTGGGGGCTGAGTCAGAAATAAAGCTGTGCTGGCTCATAGTGGTGGCTGTGGTAGGCTGTAGGATTAAGAGAGACGCAAATTAGGCTGTTTGCTTTCTGTCAAAGAACTGAACAAGATAAGCATTTTAGTAAGGTTATGGCTTCGCTTGCCAAGTGCAGCAGCGTGCCAGCCAAAAGAGATGACGATGTCAGCGGTTCCTGCTGTTACCTTGCAAGCAGGTCGGTAATCTTAGAAATCATTCTCACGTCAGTGCTGATGGAATTGGGATAGTGGGTTTGGAAGCTTTTGGGTCGCAAAAACATTTCTTCGGGCAAACAAACTTAGCAGAAGATTAAAGGTATAAAGCGTGTTGAATGGTGTCCCAACTGAGCTGTGCAAATACCTTGTCCGTAGCCTTAATTTGTGATGGAGAAGTTAGTGTTAAATGGCAAATGCAACGTCCCGTGATCCTGTCAGAAGGAATAAGAGCTGAGCGGCGCTGTTCTGGCACTTGCATCGTGCTGCCCTTTGCTCAATTTGTTTTGTTTTGCTTTTCTTTTTTGTTCTTTGAGGCAGTGCAAGTCTATAAAAATACAGCAGGCATTTCGTATAGGAGTTGGCTTTGTTTGCACTGTAAAGCTGAGGGCATCACTGGGGACGAACAGTCGGTTCCCACTTGGGCCTGCTGCTGTCATGAGGAGGTGAGGAGTGCAATGGAGGCACACCAGCGCTTTTTCCTTTTCTTCTCTGTTCCCCTTTCCTTCTCTTTGGTTCTTTGTAGGTTTACAAAGATGGGAACAAAGGACAAATCCCTGGCGGGCTTTGGGAGGCTGAAAGCTGGTTGCTGAGGTTGGTGGGTTTTGTTCCGGATGACCCAGCAGCTGGATCCATTGCCCTGGAAGGGCCCTGCTCCTCTTGGCCCCGCTCCATCCCCCAGAAATAAATACGGTTTCTGCTCCCATTCTGGAATGCTATTGCAGAGCATCACCTCTGTGAGGACCTGAAACCTCCTCTTGGCTCCCCACATACCCAGGTTCAGCAGCACCTGCAGCTCCGTGTGAGGACACTGGGCTGCAGGGCCATCAAGCTGTGTGAAGCTGTCAGGTTTTGGGGGACAGTCAGGTGACAGCTGCGGCGTTGAGTTTTCTGCCTGCTGCTGGGACACCACGCTCGTGTTCCCAAGCAGGAGCTGCGCCCGGCTGGAGCTGCAGCGCTGTTTGTCAGCACTGGGAACCTGTGATGTTCAGAAGTGGTTACTTCTGGGTTAATGAAAGACTAGGTGGCAAAAGCCACAAAATGCTCTTAATAGAGACACTTAAAGGCCTTCCCTGGGTAATGAAGGTCATCGCTGTAGGTCATCATTTGGAGTTTGTGCCATGCCAGCAGCTTGTTAGCCCCATGAAATAAGATGCTTGTGAAGCCTGCATGTCTGAGCTGAGTGCCCACACAAGCACACGGAGCCTCGTCTCCTGGCGCCGGACGCTGCCAGGCATCGCAGGGTGCTGCGGGCTCGTGCTCCGCGCAGGGCAAGCAGACACGGCTGTGGTCACGAAGAACCCATTTCCCTTCCTGCAGCAGCCTACAGGCGCTCCACCTCCTGGTGGCGACGCTGGCGCACAAGGCTGGTGGCTGCGCACCTCGCCCCGCGCTCGGGCTCAGGCTCACCAGGCTCTCCCCACTCCTTGTGTCCCTCAGGGCCGTGGTTGTGGGGACTGCACAAAATGGAGCAGGGTGGCTGTTGGGACGCCGTGC